TACCTAAGATATATATATATATATATATATATATATATATATATATATATAACACAATATACATGCAACAAAAACACACTGCAACTCATGCAAGATAAAGACAGCATAAATGAAGGGTACATACAAGGTGTGCAGATATAAACCGTGAAATACACAGTCATGTTATACACATAAGATGTGGGTGTTGAAAACAAACACACACAAAGCAGATATGAGCAGTGAGTGAAACATTAACCCCATCCTACCCTGGCCCAGAGAGTGCATTTTCATGCACAAGTAGAATGGACACACATATACCAAAGGCCTGGGAGGCTGCAGCCAGTGATTTGTATCACCAAGTTGACCTTGTACAGGGAAGAGCTCCATGGTCTACAGGGTGCAGCACTTAGGACCCACCCTATGTGGCTCTCTACCTCTGTCCTACTTTGTTTCTCCTTGTCGGTGTCATTCAAGGGAGAAAGCTAAGTGTACTGAGCTTCTCAGTTCCTTTAGTCTTTTCTCAAGGATAAGGGAAAGAGCTGCTGGCCCTACGGAAAGGGGTTGAGTTCACAGCTTGGGGCAGGGCAGGGTATGTGGGCTGCCTGTCTGTCCTAAGGTCTGGGCTAACTAGAGACAGAATGAGGTGGGGGTCTAGTCTTTCACTGCAATAGGGGCTATGAGCTACTAGCCAATATCAGGGTGGGGGATAAGAACAAGATTTGGCAAGAGTATGAGAAACCAGTAGGGGGACACACATACACACAGCTGCAACCAGACACAATGTAGTAATGTATATAATACACATTCATACACACAAAATCGTCTCTACAGATGTGCCTGCAGCTACAGATACACACTATGGCCAGAGAGAACACAGCCTCACAGACAGAAACAAATACAAATACATATGTTTAACACACGTGAAAAGGAGGAAGGCAGAGGCAATAACAGCTCACACTGCAAACTGACTGGGTCAGATGCCTCTGGCATTTATGTTCTGTGTGACTTTGGGAAGTCACTTAACTTCTCTTTATATGAGTTTCCTCACTTGGAAACAGGGAATTAATCATATCTCCCACATCAAGTTGTGATTAAATGAGTCAATCCATTTTTGACACTTAAAATAGTACCTAATAAACAATAAGCAATAACTCATCTGTCTACAAATACGTATACAAAGTGTTATCTATAGCTACTTGTGTATACCACTATACACATTCAATCACATGCACAAATACCACAAATACAATCTATGCAAACACTAAAGTGTGAACACATATAATGGTCACAGGTACATGTGTGTATATGTACATATATGAATATATATCTATATTTAAATAGGGTCTCATGTACCTCAGGTTGTCCTTGAACTCATTCTTCTTCTTAGCCTCCCTAGTGCTGAGATTACAGGTGTGTGCCACGAATGAATTATATCCATTCCTGAGTACATGCCCATATGTACATATGCATACAGCTCTTTGTCGACATGTACTGACATTTGTATATAAAGCCATAATGCCGATGTACAATTTATAAAAGCAGGAACTCCAACAGGGTGCTTAAGGTGTTACTTACAGAACGCTGAGGGATTTTTCTGTCTCCCCAGGGCAGAGAACTGGGCCAGGTGCTGCTGCTGTTGTTGGGGGTACAGAGGCTCCACACAGAGCCAGCACACTTTCCCTACTTCAGTGTGTGGGGGCAGGTCCCTGCAAACTTCATAGAAGGGGCTCCTTTTTGGGGGGCTGCTGACACACTCCTACATAGTCCTTTTCTGGCCCTGAGCAGTTTGTCATCACACAGGTTGGAAGGTTTGAGCAAATCAGGCAAGACCTAAGTGTCAGGTATGGAGGAGACTGCTGAGGCAGGCCCTCTGTGTCAGCCTGAGAATGCCTGTTTCATGGTAAGGCTCCAGGCCGAGGGCCAGGAACTGAACAAACGAGGGTGCCACGGCTGTCACTACCCCTCCCACCCACATCCAGGGATGGCTCTCTGCCAGAACGATGCTGCATCCTTAGGGCCCAGGACTCCTCACCCAGCTCTGTGGCCAGCACGGTGAGGTTGTGCCAGACACGAGCCTCGCGGTCCAGGAGCACCGCTGTTCGGATAGTGCCATCTTCGGGCTCGATGGAGAAGCAACGCTCTGGATCCGAATAGGGGAGGATGGAGTATCTAGGGGAAAATGGGGGTGACCTGGGGCTGCGACCTCTCCCTCTTGCCCTTCCCTCCCCTCTGTTGCTCTTGCCGGGCCTCATCTTGGCAGAGGACACAAGCTGCTTGAGCAGAGTCTTACCAGCCACTCAGAACCATTGGTCAGGCTGGAGTTCCCTGGGAGTCCCCAAGACTTGGGGTGACTGGATTTGAAAGGAGCGGTAGACGATGAGCAACACTACCTGTGTTTCATCTCTGCTCTGCCTCAGACCAGCTGCGTGACCTTGGGACACTCATTTGACCTTGTTTAATCAAACTGCACAATGGGAATGACACCAGCACTCCCTCACAGAGCTGTGTCAGGATGCTGGTCTGCAAGGTGGAAGAATGGGGGTTCACAAGGCAGACCAAGCCAAATCTGGAAATCGACCCTGTCACTCACAGTGGGCAAACAACTTAGCCACTCACAGTTGGCCTCTAAAACAACTGGTGACCACGATACCTACTTCATAGGGACACTGTGAGAATCAAATGTTATCAGTGGGTAAAATGTGAAGCACTTATCAACAGAGATCCATTTATCAAATGAGACTCCATTTGCTTGTACGGCCACTAGGAGGTGCCACTCCAAAGAAGTAGGTAGAGTTGGGCTGTGGTTACTCAGGCCCTCCAGCTTTCTAGCGCCCAGGCCTGCCGACCAGCAAGCTGGCACAGGAAGCGAGACCTTTGCTAAGGTATATGATTTGAGGTAAAGATGGCATACCCTATGAATCCCCAGCCTCTGTGATAATTTAAGGAAACCTTGTCCCTCCCCAGCTCACAGTCCAGCTAACCTGATTGGGCTGGCTGGGGAGTCCAGGTCACTGGCTGAGATCTGGCCCACCAGGGTCCCAGGAGCCTTGTTTTCTGGTACTATTAGGTGGTAGGTGGCCTGGGTGAAGGCTGGTGGCTCTGGGGCATCCTGCACAGCCACTCGCACTGAAGCCACGTCCTTGAAGGGACCTCGCCGCAGGTAGGCTGGGTCGATGAGTGTGTTGGTGGCTTCTACACGGAAGGTGTAAGAGCGGCGGGTCTCGAAGTCCAGGGGCTATGATGAGGGGAGACAGAGAATGGTGTGTGGGAAACTGGGGTGGGCCCAGCCTGAAGGGAGCAAAGTCTCTTCACCATGTGCATTTAGTGCTGAAGAGAGGTGGCACTGGAGAGGCGTGGCCTCAGCGGTCACAGCTGGTGAACACTGCACAGCTGGTAACTGTAGAGCTGCTCTCAGACCCACTGTAGGCTTGTTAAGTGACCTTGAGACACTTTCTAGCTTTTGGAACCTCATCTAAAAGATAAGACCACAATGACCTCCAAGTTCCAACACAGGGGTCCTAAGCAGGGTTCTAGGAAACTCCTTAAAAGTATGGGGCCAGTGTGTCTGTGGAGCAGATCGTCTTCCATTCTGCTTTAGTTTTTTTTTTTTTTTTTTTTTTTTGTTTTTTTTTTTTTTTTTTTCTCGGTGCTGGGGATAAAATCTCGGAGTTTGGGCATGTTAAGCTTCTACCACTGAGCTTTACGACCCCAGCTGAGTCTGCGGGTATCAACAGATGGAAGGCTAACCTTTCGTACGGTAAGGAGCCCATCCTGCCCCTGGGAGTCTGTGCTGATGCTGAAGGCCTCTGATCCTTCCCCATCCAGGATGCTGTATGCCATCAGGGCATTGTCCCCTAGGTCTGGGTCCTGAGCCTTAAGCCGGCCCACCAGGGTTCCAGGTCCAGCTGTCTCCACCACAGAGAACTGGTATAGACCTTAGGGGAACAAGGAGGGAAGGTGTATCCTTAGAGGGGTCGCCAGCCCTCCCGCTCTCTCCCAGCATGTCCTTTTTGCAGGGGAAGGGGTTGGGGAGGGATGGCGTCTCTGAAAACCGTGGGGTAGGGCCATCAAAGGACTGTTTGGGCAGAGAACTGCTCTTACTCTGAGGGAACTTGGGGGGGTTGTCGTTGACGTCACTGAGGGTGACTGTTACTGTAGTACTGCCTGATAGCCCCCCCATGTGGCCACCCATATCCTTGGCTTGGATCACCACCAAGAACTCCTCTTGGGTCTCCCGGTCCATGTTGGGGATGGCTGTACGAACCACTCCTAAGGGAGAAACACTGGGTCAGGAGGTGTCTGTCCCTATGGCTGCCCCACAAGGTTCCTGGGTCTGTTCTCACCCGTCTGGGGGTCCACAGAGAAGAAAGGCAATCCATCAAGCACAGTGTACACCAGTTTGGCGCTGTTCCCATAGCTGGGATCATCAGCATCGTGAGCAGTGACTTGGATCACAGACGTCCCTGTGGGAGATCCCCGTGTCCCATTCAGCAGCAGCAGCAAGGCCAGAAATGAGTAGATTGAGGGAACCCCGATGTGAAGAAGGCTGAGTTAAAGGAGCAGGTCTAGGGTAGACCACAGAAGGGGAAGAAGGGGTGAGAGAGCTCCAGGAAGGTTAGGGCATTTGGGGCTGGGGGGCTCACCAACATTAGACATCTCGGGCACTGTAGCATGGTAGGGCCCAAGGGGAAACACAGGCGGATTGTCGTTGATGTCTTGCACTTTGATAATGAACTCTGATGGGGGCTCCAGCGGCCGGTTAGAGGCGCGGTCCACAGCTTGGGCCAGCAGTACATATTGTGCTTTCTCCTCCCGGTCCAGGCTCTTGGTCACATGGATATTGCCTGTGGCCTCATCAATCACAAATACAGTGCCTGCCCCCTCCCCAGTCAGCAGGTACTTGGTGCGGCCCTCACCCCGGTCAACATCTGAGTGCAGCTGGAAGAGTCAGAGAAAATGGCAGAGAGCTCCAAGGCAGAGAGGCACAGGTTAGAGTGTAGGTTTGGGCTGGGTGTTAGGAATGCTAGGGACCAAGGTCATTGCAGAGTGATTACACCACAGGGCAGGGCCTAAGGGCCTGAGGGACTAGTCACAGTAGGCATGGGCAGGGTTGGTCCTTACCTTGCCAATAAGGACAGGCTCTGGACCAGAATATTCCTCAATGACAAAGAACTGGTTCCAGACCCAGCTCCTTCGGGTCCGCAGCAGTGTAGGACCCGAGTGTCCCCGGGACCCTGCCCAGGCTGGGACTGGAGCTGCCAGGCGCCCCATGCAGCCCCAGCCACCCAGCCAAGCCAACAGGAGCCTCACAAGGCCCCACATGCTTGTAATCCAGCCAGGGCTCTTGTTCACTGGCCCCAGGTGCTGAGGCTGGGCAGGGCCAGGTGGCCCATGAGCTGGCTGGGGAAGATGCGTTGAAGCTACCCCATGGATCCACACCTGTAGGACAGGTAGCTGCTCAGGATCAAGGAAAGTCTAAATTCTGCTCCTCTCCCAAACTAGATAGCAAAGCCCAGATATCTAAGAAACCAGACATCCACTGCCCAGAACCCAGACCAAGACAGACAGCTGCATCCTTCCACCTAGCTCTGCCTGGATTCACCTCCATCCCTCCAAGCCCATAAATTTTAGGTCAGCCAACTCTGGAGGAGGAAATAGCAGAGGGGATGGATGCTAAAGGGACTTGGAATTTCAAATCCTGTCCTGTCCTTCTCCCTTGGGCACACAACCAGGTACTAGAGAAGGTAGGTGGGCTCACAGAGAAAGGGCTTAAAATTAAGAGGTTGTATTCATTGACACAGGGCCTTCCTTATCCATAGGGTCAGGCTAAAAGACAAGGAGTGCACCCAAGTCAGGTTGGGACTTAGAACAGAACCCTCCCCTCCTCAACCCCACATATCCAGATTGTCCCCAGCCCACTGCTAGCTGCAGTCTTTAAGGGGGACTGCTCTAACGGAGCAGAGTGGGGCTAGAGCTGGAAGAACAGGGTTACATGCAGTGCAAGGAGACTGACGAGAGGTGAAGTGGAGGCTGACCCAGGGGCCAGAGACAGTGTGATTGAGGGTTCTGGGTCAAGAATCAGGGATGGTCTGGCAGACAGGGAGACCAGATAAATGAAACAGACCACGGAGAGAGAAGGGCAGCAAGAGAGAAACAGAGATATCAGGGAAGCAGCCGGGGTATCTGAAAGGTAGAAAGGGAGTCCTAGGTACTAGGCATGAGAACTGGTAGGGGCTGTGTGTGTGTGTGTGTGTGTGTGTGTGTGTGTGTGTGTGTGCAGGCCTCGGGAACTTCATTCTGGTAGAGTAAGCTACCAGGAGCAGTAGAGGTAGGGAGGGGCTGCGGGAAAGGAGCTAGAGAGAGGACCCTTCCCATTTCTCTCCCTCCTCCTGAAGGGGCCCATGGTCAGGTAGCTGTGCCCCTCCTCCTCCCAGAGCAGACACACACCTGACAGGCCGTTTGCTCCCAAGAGAAAAGAAGCCAGAGGGCAGCAGGGGACCAGGGAGGCAGGCGGGACGAAGAGGAGACAAGGAAGGAAACAGAGGAGTGGGAAACAGGACAGCAGGAGAAGAGGAGAGGGGAGGAAAGGAAGGCAATGGGAGAGGAAAGGAGAGCGGGAAAGGGAAAAGAGAAAGATAGAGGAAGAAAAAGGCAGAAGAGATGGGAATAGACAGGACAAGAGGGAGAGAGAGAAGGGGCAGAGAGGCGTAAGGGTGAAGAGAAATCAGGAGAGGCAAAGGGAGAGGTGTGTGGGAAGGGAGAGAGCAGAGCGCGGGAGAACCGAGCGGGTACGGCTC